GGCCGTAAAACAGCAATATCTATCTATCTATCTATCTATCTATCTATCTATCTATCTATCTATCTATCTGTGTGTGTGTGTGTGTATTTCCGTCTGTACGCACTTATTTAGTCAATTCTGTTCATATACCTATAGTAGTTGCGTATATTCCACCGGCGTTGATGATCGGTTCTCGTGTCTAGTTAAAAGACAGGATTTCGAGGAAATTGGCTCTCCCTACTTCAGAGAGTATTGAAGCACAATCATTCTACTCCTTACGGCTATTAATTAAATCGATTCAAGCTTGCAGTATCTCCCTACAGTTCAGCCTAGCCTTTTAATAACGGTCTGCATTACAATGTTTATATGTATCTACCAAAATAACCAGACACATTCATTAATGGAAGAACATTTCAAAATTTAATTTATTCGTGGTATCTATTACAAATCATTAATACCAATCTCTCTTACAGAGTTCCTTTTCTCCTTCTTTCATTCTCAATAAAAATGTAGAGTTTATACACACACACACACACACACACACACACACACACACACATATATATATATATATGTAAAGGATTATTACAAATATTAAATTTGTCAGAAATAACCAGAAACCTTATACTGAAAAGAAAATAAGAGATAAACCTGTACTCCTGTTGAAAAGACGGGGGAAGAGTGTAAACCGAACGAAGGTGAACCTATATATATATATATATATATATATATATATATATATATATATATATATATATATGTATACGACTCAAAGGGAAAAAGGAAACGTAAACTAAGAAGTAAAGACCAAAAGACAGACCCCTACCTAAACAGTAAACGACAGTACTCTATTTCTAAATTAACAAGACAGGGCAATTACGCTTCCCAGTGTAACGACGCACAATGAGACAAAATTCGATCCGCTATTATAGTTTCACGCTACTGAGATCATCAGGTGGCCAGGACACAAATGACTAATGGAAGAACGAAACATTTATACTAATATAACACGTGGGAAACAAGAAAGAAAAACATGAATAACAATCACCCGTGAACAGCAGGGTGACTAATGTTGACGTTTTTGTCTTCCTCACCTAACAAGATTTCTCGAATATTCAGTTCGATAAATGGAAAATAAATTAATATACTATTTAAGAAATAAATAAATAAATAGAAACAGAGCATCTACTCAAATATAGGTATCCATTAAAAATAACGTTTAAGCAATACATTATATATATGTGTGTGTGTGTGCGCGCGTATTTATTTAAGAAGCAACGTGAAATTCTGTGCGTAGCTGCTACATAGTAATATATATATATATATATATATATATATATATATATATATATATATATATATATATATATTAGTTTATCACCAGATTCAACAATGAAGTCTCTATCGATACACAATGAAAATTCTTTTTTTCGGTACCTAGAGCATCGAAGGAAATGAAACTAACAAACGACATCACAATCTGCTATCGTGGACACGATGATGGCCAACATGATTGAGAACCACGCTATTCGGGAAAGCATTGAGGCCGTTCACGATGCTTAGTGAGGTTGCATTGAATATTTTTTTTAGTTTTTCTTAGTCGAATATATGTACATTTTCTTTAAAAGTCGCTAAATATTTTTATTGAATATCTTTGTTTATCTTTATAATATAATTTGTCTTCAATTACCTGCCGCGCCCCTCATATGCATACGTGTTTATACATATATGAGGTGTGAGAATTAAATTCCTGGAATGGCCCGGTGAAAACAAAGTTTGCTTAATTGTTCACCGTTAGTTGCTGTCACTTTCAAAGTACACCTTTTGTGAAACGATGCACTTCCAGAGACGTGACACGTGAGGCATGGTGCCATCACTGGAAACATTCTTAGAACTCTTTTTTCGGAACAATTTTAAAGAATGTAGTCACATGGAGCTGGATATCTGAGATGCCAGCAAATATTTCAGGGCATTTTTCAAATTTTGAAATAGCCAAAAGAATTAGGTGGAAGACCCATTTTTTTTTTTAAAAAAAAGGTAGCCAGTAAGTCACGTACTCCTAAGGAGCATTATCATATTGAAGAATTCGCATGTCGGACAAACTCCTTTTGTTGTATCTGTTCTTCGTGTTTTTGCCTGTCATTCTTACGTCATTGTTATTACATCATTTTACCCTTATGTTAAAAAAGAGCCAGCCTTTTCCTAGCATGTACTCCGAAAGTCATTTTAATAGGGCTAGGGTTTCAATCGCGCTTTTACTAATCTTCGCATAAAATTTGATGTTAATCTGATGGTCCAGATGCGTTTCAATCATTTTCCGCCGACAGTATAACATGAACATGTTTACTGCTCTGAGAAATTTTCAAAACACAAAACACACACACACACACACACACACACACACACACACACACACACACACACACACACACACACACATCTCTCTCTTTCTTTCTTCTCTCTCTCTCTCTCTATATATATATATATATATATATATATATAAAATCCCAGTATATATTAATCCCAGCATAATATATAGCTACGCCGGCGTTGTGATAACCAGATATATTAAAATTCAAATTAAGTAACGGTCAGTCCATAGCCAGCACCTGAAGATTGCGTTGTTCATAAAACTGTGGGTCTAGTGCTAGCGATGAGGATAATATGTATATTTATTAATGTATACTTAATATATAATTAGCTTTTTATATTACATCGAGAACTTTTTATTAACACCAGCACTATACGTGCAATATATATATATATATATATATATATATATATATATATATATATATATATATATATATATATGTGTGTGTGTGTGTGTGTTACGGGACCTTAATAATAACATAATGGACTATTCCATAGGTTCAAGAGGAAGGGCGAAGTCTCTTTTAAACCGACCCTGAACCCGTTTATATGGGTTCAAAGGGTATTTGACTAAATACTGTTCAGTCTGAAGTCTGGAGTGAAGTCCGTCAGGAGTTCAGAGCGAATCAGTCAGTCGAGTTTCCGAAACAGAGTCGCGTTCAGACAATTACTACTAATCCTGATTGTTCGTACTAACAACTTCTCTGTATATATTCCTGTCTGTAATATATCTGTGTTATTCCATATCCGTGTTCGAGTTCTTTCTTTATTGGTTCTACTGACTATCACCGTGGTACAAGGAAACGGACCATAACTATATATATATATATATATATATATATATATATATATATATATATATATGTCGCACATTTAATACTGATGTGAATAAAACAGTGATTATTTTGTAGGCATAAAAATAAATATCTGTTGAAATACGTTGATCCTGATTAATTTTTAATGCAAATTATGACATTACTCTTTTGTTTTATTTTTTTTAATTTTGTGGGACACCCTCCCCCACCCCAATAATCACCCTTTATTATTTAATATAAAATTAATATTTACGACTTTAATCAAAATTAATTTTTAATTTATTAATCCCGTTTATATTAAATTCAAAATATATTTTAAAATATAAAACAAAACTGTAATCCCTGTATAATACATGGACTGCACTAATATTGCGTTAACTAGATATTTTTTATTAAAATTTGAATTACGTAACGGTCAGTCTATACTTAGCATCTATACCGGTGAGGGTACACACACACACACACACACACACACACACACACAACAAATATATATATATATATATATATATATATATATATATATATATATATATATATATATATATATATATTCCATATATCTTTACTTTTGTCAGACATCATATGTCGTTGTTGTTCGGACTCACTTTTTGGTTGTCTAAACTAGTTAAAAGCTGTTGCTTTATCTACGAAAAGCAAATTCTCTTATCACGTTTGATCTTTCGCTTACGTAATAAATGTAGAAAAAACTCCAAGAGAACAAAAGGCTCTCTGTAAGACATGATTCCTTGAGGCCCCAAAAGTAATAACAGAAATAAGTGCACTTATTTTAACTGTTAGGATTCCTACTACCTTCAAAAAAGACATGAATTTCTTCACTATCGATGTCTGATGGCGAACTAGAAAAAATTAAGAAACAGATTTTATAATTGCAAGTAAATTATAACACACACACACACACACACACACACACACACACACACACATATATATATATATATATATATATATATATATATATATATATATATATATAAAAGAAAGAACAGTAAGATATATAATCCGGTGTTCTTATTGATATTTTTATTTTTACAAAACAGTGTTCAATATAAATTTACAGAGAGCATAAATATTATAAATTAACTGGTGTAAAATATGTTTTTTTTCGCTACACTGTAATAACCATGTTTCAAAAATGGAAGCTAAAAACTTCAAATTTAATTTTGTAATTAAATTAAAAACATTAATTCCATTTCCTCTTCAAGCGAATATTGGAGTAACTTATTTTTAAATTTACTGAGTTTTAAACGCACACAAAAATTAATAATTCACTGTTTCTAAGGATACAGAGAAATCCAATCATTCAGACCAGGGTGGTAGCATGTTCATTTTTATTAACTTTTTTTGTACGTAATATATATATATATATATATATATATATATATATATAGATATTTTCCCATGTTTATAAGGAAAAAATTAATTCCTTTAAATAATATGTAGAAATAACTACTCCTCGCCTGATGTACTACTACTGTACTGATGCGGCATTCACCCTGGGCGGATTGAGCCGGCTTCTTCCTGTTATGAGAAGAAGATTCATGGGATAAATTACAGAAGTAGGGTACCCAGGCCTACTCGGATAACGTTCTTGCTTGCCGCGGGGTTCCCACAGACGCAGAGACAGGAACGACCAGAAGCCGCCGGTTACCGATGCAGACGCTCCTTGGATTTTCACCAGAGCCCTTGTTAGCCGGCGTGTGTGTCAGACCTGTCCGCCTGGGTGGCCAGGAACGAAGTTCGGGCGGCATAGCTCTGACACTACTGTTTACACCCCCCACCGACTGTGAGGTAAGGGTTGGACTTTGGGGGCTTACAGTACCAGGTGTTCCCAAGCGGTCCCCCATCTAAGTACTGACCTGGCTCTACGATGCTTAACTTCGGTGATCGAACGAGAACCGGTGTTTCAGCGTGATTTGACCGCCTGATGAAGGTCGCAAGACTCGAAATACGTGTAGCAAAAAAAAAAAAAAAAATGGAAAATAAAATCAAAACTTCTCTTTAATAATAATAATCCTTCTCTTTAATATATATATTAATATATATATATATTAATATATATATATATATATATATATATATATATATATATATATATATATATTATGATGACAAACAAACACTTATGAAACTCTATAGGTAATATTTTACTTAGCCTGTAAATCAAATGAAGATGGGAAAATTGATTTTAGGTTTAAAAATTAAGAATAGTGATTTAGTATTGGGAGTAGGGAAAAGAATGATTTTAAGTTATCATCGTGTAGGCAGAGGGGCGGGGAGAGAAAACGGTCACAGTTGTATTAACACCTGTGGTAACCTAAAATGACATTCAGATTGTAGACAAAAATCATTAAATTTCCAATTGATAATACATGGGAAAAAAGATTTTAAGTGTAATATATATATATATATATATATATATATATATATATATATATATATATATATATATACATATTTGTTTAGAAGATCAAATATAGATCAAGTATGGATAGGAATCCAACAAAAGGCTAAAGAACGAGTAGGAATGGGATCTGCAACTAACTAACCAAACACAACATATACTATTAATCTGCATCTCTGGCTTTTTTTATAATTTTTTTTATCATTTTTATCTTGATCTATGACAAAGCTTTAATAAAATGAAACATATTAGATTGAGATTTGTCTCATACTTGTTCTTCATCCCATTATATATATAGCTTTCCCTGACGATCCGTTTAGGTGAAACCTAGGTAGGTTTGTCTGGCTCACTAGGTGTATCTAGGTCTGCTCTACGGTTGTATTGAGCTCTTTTGTTAGTTAGTTGTTACTCGTATCGGGGTTTTTTCTTTGGGCTTCAGACCTGCATCTGTGCGATTTTTGTCGGCAGAAGTTCATGTTTGTAGCTCTTTCTTTTTAAAACCTTTTTACCCCTCGAAATTGATTTGATTAACAAATCAAAAAATTCGAGGGTTTTTCGAAACGAGTCTAGTTATCTATATATCTATATATATATATGCTAACTTCATTTTCGTTTTTCGAACAGCATTTTTTAATGGATTTTTCTTAATCCGACATTATTTCTTATTTCTATCAATGCTATTTTTCTTGCGTACAAGTATTTAATTAATATTTTGCTTTTTTTCCAAAGCAGTGAAATTAATATCAACCGACCTAGATCTAGAAATATTACTAAAAAATGTGATTCCAGTAGCCAAATAGGCACGTTGGGTAGTGAACAGCGAAGAGGAATCGGAGAGTCGAGTTCAAATACCAGTCGAATCCATTATATTCACTTATGTGCTAATACCCTTGGGAAAAGTATTAATCCTCTTCTTCTCCCTCCAGCTATGGATAAATAACAGGACAGACTAGGTTCTATAACACTGGACGGCAAATGGTCTAGGCGAAGGACAATTCTGAATTCAAAACCTGTGGAGTGTTGTTTGGGGACCTTGTGGCACGTAGTGCACCAGGTCTCTGTACAAAGCCTTCACCACTATAATCAAATCATATGTGCTGGTGTCTGGCTGTCGGTTTCAAGGAACTGAGCTGCTTGACTCTCATACGTCGAATAGGACGGAGATTCCATTATATATATATATATATATATATATATATATATATATATATATATATATATATATATATGAGATTGTATAGAAATGTTTTCGGATTGTCTTTTAAAAAATAACATTACAATATAAATCATGTATTAATAAATTAATAAGTTCATGAAAAATTCTACGTTTTCTGGTTTTTTAGCCGCGGTCAGTTTCTCTGAAAAAAAAAAAATTCAACCGACAGTCGATCGGCCTTGAAACTCACGTGCCACTACAATTTTTTGTTCAACCGATAGAATGTTTTCCAAAAGCCTGACGAACAGTTCGAGGATCTCGGTGGCAGATTTTTCCCGTTTATTACGCAAAATTTGGCACAGACCAGTTGTTCGAATTTTTCAATCATCGTAAAGATTACAGTTATAAAAATATCGTGAAGTAATTGAACGCAAGTACTTTTGTGTTTCAAATAGACGGGTCGGGATTTATTATTCTGTTTGTGAGAAAAATCCACCCGAGACATGCTTATTACAACCAACCCTTTCATTAAATATTCAGGAAATCTCCTTCCCTGTCTTAATTGGAGGAAATTTCCCTTTCTTTAAATATTCAGGATATTTCTTCCCACTCTTTAATCAGAGGGACGAAATTTCCTGAATATTAAATTGTTATGGGGTCCACACCTTTTTCATACAAGTGGACTCGACCAGTGTGTATTTGTACTACTGCCGGTGAATACCCGGGGGTCGGAAGAGGTAGACTAATAGAGAGAGTGAGAGTCTGAGGTAACCGCTTTGTAGGAGTCACAGTTACAAGCACGTTGACTCAGAAGGAAGTCCTACTTCGATACTGAATTTCCCAGTCTGTATATATATTATTATTGCTACTAACCGCATTTCTGGATCTACTAACTGTATTACCAATTGTATTATTACGTCAATACATTTATTTGTTATATTTCATTTCTGCGTTTGTCATTCATTGGAGACCAGATTTCATCTCGGAATCCACAACATAAATAAAAGTGGGTGGTTGGAATTTCGTCTAAAACGAATAGCCGTTCCGGTCCATCTATTCCAATCTCAAAAATATACCCGGTCATTGATGCTGTTATAACGCAACAAAACAAAAACATATGAGATTAAATCTGGTGCATTAACTCTAGTTCGTTTACCAGTGAAATTTTATCATAGTGGTTGGGAACAGCCATCACACTCAGATATCTTAGACGCTAGGGAAGAATATGAAAGGTCAAGTGCCGCGTTATTGGGATAACGATATACCGCATGTTTCTTTGGTGACCCGGCAAAAATTTCGGACATTGTTGGTTGAAATTTATAAATTTTTTTTCTCTTAAAAACTGACTAGATCAGAATTCGAACTTGGTTCGTCGATTCCACGTAGAGCGGCGATTCCACTTGCTGCATATCCATGACAAAAACATTAAAACGTGTAATAATTCAATTCTTAATTCTAAGTGGCAAAAACTGAAATGTTTGAGAATCACGTTACTCTAATAAAGGAAATTAATATCAGAAGGTAATTATTTTCATTGGCTAAATTCAAGAATGATCAAACCTATTTAAGCACAAATTTCACGGATTCACCCCCCCACCAAAAAAAAAACGACTGGTAAGGTAACCAGGTGGCGATCGCTCCTGGTTGCTTTGACTTGAGAGAAGGGGATTTATAGAGGAACGAGACCCCAACAATAAACATCGAGGCGTGTTTGAGATACATCAGAAGACGGTAAATTTATCGAATTCGGTAATATGCTTTATTCTCATCGGTTGCATTTGCTAGACGACTGGATCGCTGGGTTTCATTTAGTAATTATCGAATAGAAAACGTATAAAACGTATAAAAGAAAAAGCAGCACTAATTGTGTCTGATATTGATTTCCCTGCTGACGCTCAGCTCGGGAAAAATCTCACATTGTTGTAGATTTTCGTGTCTTTCCTTTCTCAAAATTAGTATCTATGACATACGATGTTGGGATAGAACGAAAAATAACACCGCTACCGCGCAACACGGAATAGAATCTTTTTTTTTTTAAGCAAATCACCCCAAGCAAGGCGGGAGTGCCATTAGCACGCAAGGGGTTACGGAGAGTTAGAGTAAGAGTAAAAAAGAGGAGTGTTTGAGAAAAGGATAAAGAGAAGGACAGAGATGAAAATCACCGCATCAGATGATATCGATTGACATTATATTTGATTATTTGAAGATTATAGCTATCAGGGAAGCAAGTAATTAGAAGGGAGTTCCCCTGATGGGAGGTGCGAGAAAAGAAGCTGTTGGAGTAAAAGAGATGGCTATATTTAGCCGTTTCGACAGTGAAAGAGTGGGACCGAGATGCTAACCTAGTAGCACGCTTAAATTCATGTAATTTGAGAACCAGTGAAAGTAGCTCGTCGGAGTAGTTGCCATGAAAATACTTGTAGAAAAGGCAGAGGGAAGCCATAGCACGTCTGTGAGATAGTGACTGTAGACGGAATGCCAGATCAGGACCAATAACGTTGCATATTCATCTCTGGATTTTTTTTCGAGGACCTCGAGATGAACAGCGGGGGCAGCAGACCATAAATGGTATTAAATAAGTTAGCGAAACATTATTTTTTACATTCTGAAACAAAATGACCAGCTTATTCGACTGAATTTTCTAGCTGCAAAAAAGGATTTGAGAGTTGGGGTGGTGTTGTGGTGGTGTTGTGAGGCTAATTAATTTTACTGTTTTTAAATAAAGAAGGACGGTTACGCAAACACGTATATCTATTAGAACACTGTTTTCCCACGTGGTCCAAGTGTTCCACTGGTAGTCCACATAGCATTTCTACAGAGAATTCGTAGCCATAAAAAATTGTAGCTATTTCACAAAAATCTATCTAAATTATTCATAGTTTGAAGAATTAAAAAATATAATATTTTTTAATTACACAAATGGCCATTATATTTGAAAATTTCAAAATTACGTAGGTATTATGCATTGCTATATTTATTTTATTTTTTTTATATATATATATATATATATATATATATATATATATATATATATATATATATATATATATATATATAAAATGTTATATATACTATGTATAATATAAATTTTTATTCATATAAAAATTATTCCTGTCTTATTAGATCACTACACAATATTGTTTGATAATAAATTTGATATTTCTAATTTAATGAAATAAACTATTATTTTTATTATTTTTTCAGAACACTTGTAAGAATGTCTGAACCAAGTGCTAAAAAGGCAAAACTGAGGAATTACAGGGAAGATTTTATCATGTTTTAAAGTGTAAATAGACTGTCTTTTCATTGAGTATTTTTGTGTGAAAATTGAACAGCCTAAAAGTAAAAGTAGGTGTAGTCCATTTG